TTTATGAAATTAATTGTTATTTGGGTCAGGCAGACAGATGGAACTGAGACGGTCTGGCTGTTTCTGCATATGAATGAACATTTTGTTTATTGTGTAGCAAAACCCTTTTTTATGTGGCTTGGGGTTTTTTCTCCTGTATTTCTCCCCCCATGGCAACTTCTAACTTAATTTTGTCAATATTTCTATGAGCTAACTGTGAGGTTTAGCTAGAAAAGAGTTTTTATATTCTTCCTCCTACTGTGCAAACACATGCAATAAACAAAACAATGTTGCTTATTCCAAGCAGACAAATTTTGGGAGAAGCTTCTCATGTTCTGTGACATCTACAAGTCTCAGACATTTGTACAGAACCTTAATGCTTTACTATCATAGGTTCCTCACTGCTCTTCTCACATGTGCTGCTACTATAGGTTCCTCACTGCTCTCTTCCCATGTCTCTTTCTTCTCTCCTTAAAAGAACATGAATCTTCATCACAAATTGAAACCTGTTTAAGCTTCATAAAAATGCTATCAATTTTTTTTCTTCTGAAAGACATTCAAGTATTTCCAGGGGACTCGTTTTTTCCTTGAGAGAAGTAAGATAATGAATAAAAGGTGCAGCAAAATGCTGTTAAATCGAAACTGCACTTATTAATGTACACTGTATTCAGTCTGCATTCGGTCTCTGTAGTAATACAGATTCACTCTAAAGAAAAATCCATCCTCAAATTTGTAATGCCTCTTTGACAGAAATTTCACACTATCTCATATATATATGAGTGAAGATGATATTTTAGCAATGATATCTCAGCTACTTTATTTCAAAATACATTTCTATACTCCTTTATTTAGATCTGACATCATCAAGGATTGAATTCGGAACTGAGAGAAAATTGTTCTATGCAGCAGAGAGCTCTCCAATGAGAACAATGCAGTGATGTGATATTTCTGTTAATTAACCTCATATAAGGTCTACTTCGGGATTAATGTAGTGTAACTGTACTATTAGTTCCCCTAACCTTCTTGGCTTTGGTGATGGTTTGTGTAATATATCACAGTCCTTAGAAGGTTTCTGAGGAAGATTACTTCACTGAAAAGGTCATTTAATATGCCAGACATTTTCCTACTGTAATAAAGTAACATAAACAGCCTACCCTGGACCAGAAATGCAGCCGGAGAATTTTGTTTTGGTTTTACTGACTTGGATTTATGGTACAATTTATTTCACAGCAAATCTTATGTCAGATGTTGTTTTCCCATGGTTCATCTTGACAGCAGTTAAAATTCTATGACAATGAAATGAACTTTTCTAGCTGAAATGCTTGCACACTGTATTTTAAATAGTATGGAGTTCTGCATTTTTGTCTAGCCAATATATTTTTGTGCAGTTTGTTCCTGTGCATTTATTTTTCTAATGTTTTATATTTGCTTGAATATTACAAGAATGTGTAAAACAAAAAATAAGGACTTTATTTTTAGTGTTACTTAAACTTTAGGATTGTTGTCACAGAACAGGTTTAACTGATTTTTTTAATATCCAATGAGGTTTCATTCTGTTTTGTTGCTGTGTTTCTTTTTAAAGTCTACTCAGTGAAGTTTTTAAAAAAAAATCCAATGCTCCTGGCACACCTTGTTAAAAAAAAATGTTTATAATTTTGTTCTAACCTTTCTATATAGTGTATTATCCAAAACCAAAATAACTGGTAACTTCATGTGTCATGATCTCCTCCAAGGATACCTTGTGACTTGCAGCCTCCCTGTCTATCATCTTACACTAAGATCTGAGCATCATGTTAATTTATTAATTAACTTACATCGGTTCATTTGGTTAATTTGCAGAGTTCACAAGAGAATGTTCTGGTTTTCCCTCTTTGGAGTATTTCTTTGAAACTTACTCCTCAATCTAACTAGTCACTATGTGTATAATCCCACCAAATTCTGTCAACAAAATGGAAATCTTCAGCTTAAACATGCAGATACTGTGATTAGGAGGAAATTATCAAAGCAAAAGCAGATAAATAGGACAGGTAAAAAAACACTGAAAAATTTCAAATCATATTCTGAAAGCAATAAATGCATTTCACTTTCAGTATATTTGGAACTTGATCTACATCACTGAATATACCAATGGCATAACGTACGCATATGCAGTGTACCAATTTTTTTCACATTTATATACTAAAAGGGAAAGTACTATATTTCTTTCAGAATATAAACTTTTATATATGGAAAGATGAATAAGCTGATTTTAAACTTAAATGGCAGATACATACCTTAAAAAAATTGACTGGTTTATGAAGTATTTTCTTCCATTCTTAACCAATTCCAAAAACATGAAACTTTTGACAAGCAGTAAAAGTTTCACTACTCTTAGATTACTCTTCAAACCTGCACTTCTGTTACGTATTGAGGGACAGTCTTGATCTTATATAATTATTCTAAAGTTTCTTTTACAGCTGGAGTACATAAAGTATTCTGATCTAGATGAGTCATTTTATTCATTTTTATAGGCCCCAGGAGTTGCTCAAGTGTTTATAGAATCAGATCCTTAGGTTTCATGCAGTTAACAAATTTGCATTTTATTAAATGTAAACTCATAGTTATGCTTTTACGTTGTTTAAATTTTGAAAGCATTTACGATTACAGTAATTTTCACTATGCCCTAAGGTTTATTTTAAGTGAAATTAATCAGCCTTGGAAAGTAATCATGGCTGGAAGGCAAGTCAAACACTGCTACAACTTGGTTTAGTTTTTAAATTTCATCTTAAGAGAATTGAATGTTATATATCATAATCCTTTTCCAAATTCTGTTCTTATTCTCATGATAGTACTGTATTTTTTCATGACATGGTTATACTTAGAAGTCTGATATCTTTAAATCTCATGAAATGATAAAGCTAAAAGGTGCTGGAAGACTTACAACTGTCCTGTTATGTTTATGAGAAAGCAGTTACCATATTTCAATGATAAATTATGCAAAGTGCTCATAATAGAGTATGAAATGTAAAAGTTACTGGTTTTCCAAATTCATAAAATCTCTTTAGCTCCCTGTATAATGGGAACTTTTTTTGACTGCAGCAGAAACTAAAGAAATAGAAATTTTAATATATCTGGACTCAAAAGTATAACAAAGAGTACAGGCAGAAATAATTATACTTTCATTATATATATAATATGAAAAGCAGCCCTAAAGCAACTATAAAAATATTCCTCTGTAATACAAAAAACTAGGCTTCCTAGAGCCTGAGAAAGACACTACTGGCTCTGTCTTGAAACATTCCATTTCTATATCCTCTTGTAAAATAATACAGCCCCTGCTTTGCTGGGTAAGACAAATGCTGCTGTGCTTCTAGTTGAGTCCATCTGAGTTGCATCCATTTTAGGCCTTGAATACATTGTGGAACTGGCAGACCATAGCATCAGAAATTCACCCCTAACTGCGCCTTGGAGTGTAAACCAAGGATAGCTGATACTGCTCTCCATGAAGGAAAAAATGGCAAGTTATGAACTGTATGAAGGTGGCTTGAACATGCATTAGATGTCTGTTGCCAGCTAGCAGGAAAGAAAATTCTGTAACTTTTTTTCCAGATTCATGTCTCCTATGTGTGGTGAGTGGGCTCCGGCTGGATGCCAGGCACCGACAAAAGCTGCTCTGTCAATCCCCTTTGCATCTGGACAGGGGAGAGAAAATGTAACAAAAGTCTCATGAGTTGATATTAGGACAGGGAGAGATCACTCGTCTATTACCATCACAAGCAAAGCAGAATGGCCTTGGGGAACTTAACTGAATTTATTATCAGGCAAAATCAGAACAGGATAATGAGAAGTAAAAGAGATCTTAAAGACATCTTCCCCCCACATCTCCCTGTTTCCCGTCGCTACCTCCTCCCCCCACAGTGGTGCAGAGAGACAGGGAATGGAGGTTACAATCATTTCGTCATAAATTGTTTCTGCCACTGCTGAGGGAGAGGAGTCCTTCCCCTGTTCCAGCATCCCTGCTATGGAAGACAGTCCTCCATGAACTGCTCCAGCATGAGTCCTTCCCATGGGCTACAGTTCTTCACAAATTGCTCCAATGTGGGTCCCTTTCCATGGGATGAAGTCTTTCAGGAGCAGCCTCATTCAGCATGAGTCCCCCATGGGGTCACAAGTCCTGCCAGAAAACCTGCTCTGGTGTTGGTTCCTCTCTCCACAGCTCCACAGGTCCTACCAGGAGCCTGCTCCAGCATAGACCTCCACTGGGGTCACAGCCTTCTTTTGGGCATCCACCTGCACTGGCAAGGGTCTCCTCCATGGGCTGCAGGTGGATCTCTGCTCTGCCGTAGGTGTCCATGGGCTGCAGGGGCACAGCTGTCTCACCATGGGCTGCACCACAGGCTGCAGGGGACTCTCTGCTCCAGCACCTGGAGTACCTCCTCTCCCTCCTTCTGCACTGATCTTGGTGTCTGCATAGTTGTTCCCCTCACATATTCTCATTTCTCTCTTCTCTGAGCACAATTACATCTGTGCAATAACGTTATTCCTTCTTTAATATGTTATCACAGATGTGCTGCTACCTTTTCTGATTGTTTTGGCCTTGGCCAGCAGTGGGTCCATCTTGGATCTGGCTGGCATTGGCTCAGTTGGACATGGAGGAAGCTTTTAGGAGTTTCTCAAAGAAGCCACCCCTGTAGTCTCCCCAACCCTGCTACCAAACCCTGGCCAAGCATACCTAATACACTGTGCTCACAGTCTGACCATAAAATATTGATCCCCATCAAGGTCTTTCTTGCCTATGACTTCTGTAATATGACATTACATTCTTTCAGAAGCATAACTTGCTCAGTCACAACAATTATTTTATGCAGATGAAGAAAAGGGGCAATTACCACTAAACAAGAAAGCTAAGTTTGAAACAATTGTATTATTAGAAAATGAGACTCGTTAAATTGCAAGTGAAGCAAACAACTTATGCCTGACCTTTCTTTTTAATTTATTGGCTCATTAAATTTTGTGGGTTTTTTTGTTTTCCTTTCCTTTAGCAATGGTTGTTCTCAGCAATTTGGAACCAAATACAACATATGAAATCAAAGTAGCTGCTGTAAATGGAAAAGGACAAGGAGAGTATAGCAAAATCGAGATCTTTCAGACCTTACCTGTCCGTAAGTAATATTTGTGCTATTAAATAAAAACTATTATTAGAATATTTTATCTCTAGATGACTAGTAATTTGAATTATGATTCACTATAGAGAATATATTTTATATTTATACGCTACTCCTTAGTGTCTAACACCAGTCTTTACATTGTTTCTCAGAAATCATGTTTTGTTCCTCTTACTCTTCCCTTCCAAGAAGTATGAATGAACTTCAATGGGAGAATTTATCATATTACCTGCATTTTTAAGACTCAGAAAAATCTTTGGTCTATATGCAAAAGCACAAACCATGAGCAATATTAGATTAAGGACTTTTTCACATTTACAATCAGGGTATTATGAAGATCTGTGAGAAATGAACTGGCCATTTCTGGAGACATTTCTTCATCTAAACACGCTAGCACTGGTTTGCAATTATGAAGCCTCAAGCAGAAAGAGACATAATTGCTGTAACTATAATTACATGCAAATTATAAATGCTGCAAATCCAATTCCATATTTGCAGTAACTTTAGGCAAGAAATTCAGATTTTAATATTAAGGGCTAATAAAAAATATTTTTCTCAAATTCGCTTTCAATAGAAACAACAGGTAAATAAAATATAAAGAAAAATAAAGGCACTACCATATTGCAGTGTATTGTAATCAAACAGACATATTGAAATACATCAGCAACTATTGCTAGACCAGTCTCTCATAAATCTCTTGCAACTGAACTGTTTCCTGAGTAGCACATTACTCAGTGTAGTTAATACCAGCCCTAAGGGAATGAACAATAAAAGTCATGCAGCTACAAAGAACACAAAATATTTCTATTACTATATTATGTTATGTTCTTTCTGATACATTTCTTCTGTCCCAAATCAGTAACTTGGCAGCTTTTAAATAAATCTATTTTTCATAGAAGCATATACATATTCTAAATATATTAAATGACAAATAAAAAATTTGCTGCTATTCTTATGGACCAGCATACCTAATGGAAGAATGGCAGGAACGGGTAGAGGTTATATATATGTTATATGATAGAAAGCTCGGCAAATTTTGTGTTGAGATTTAAGTCAGTTTATCTTTACTTTGATAAGGGATAAGCATAAATAATATAATTATTTCTAAAGGAACTGTATCTCTCTGGGTGACTGTGGATTTTGAAGTTAAGACATCTCAGTATGACATATACATTTAGGATCTGTTTTAAAACTTTATAATAGGCATTGCATAAAGAAATTATAATTAATTTTGACTAGCCAAGTGGCTTGATCTGCTAATAACCTTTTGATTATATGTTTAACAATGCTTTTTTTTTTTCCTTTTCATTACAAAGAAAATTGATTTGAGTTTGGAAATCTTATTATTTACATTTATTGTTGATATTGACTAATCTTAAAGTACCTAATTTGCCTTAGCACATTTATTGGAGAGGAAATTTGCTATAAATTAAAAATCATATTGCAATTTAGATCTCACACTTGGGACTAAAGCTCATGCTTACCTGTAATATAGCATTACCCTTAATCATCAGTGTGAGTAGCAGCTTACCAGACTTGCTGAATTGAAGGCTAAAATGTTTCTGAAGAAAATTATGTTTGAAAGTGTCAAAAATTGAAAAGTCTCAAAGAAACAATTATTTCTTTTGTATATCACATGATTTTGCTTCCTTGTATGAGGAATCTACATTAGAACATTAAACTAAATATTTAACACTCTTTTATGGCTATTCTGCAGTGCCTGAGAGGATCATATTGATTTTAAGATTGTGATTAATGATATTATGGACAAGTTCCCAGTTGTAATTTAAGACTCATCTTACTGCTGAATTATTCTTATGTACTGGAGTTTTTTTCCTTGTTTAGGGGAGCCAAGCCCCCCTTCAATTCATGGGCAACCAGAAAGTGGCAAGAGTTTTAAACTTAGCATAACTAAACAAGATGATGGAGGTGCCCCCATACTGGAATATATTGTCAAATACAGAAGTGTAAGTATTTCAGTTAACCAAAATAATTGAGTCGTGCTGATTGATATCTGCTTTTAATGTAGATAAGACTGATGATATGATTTGAAATTTAACAATTTAACAAAATGGTTTGTATACTAAGAAAAGAAAAGAAGATATAGTATGTTTTCTTTTGTTACTAGGTTGGTAATGCTAGATTATGAAATAAAAATTAAAAGAATAACTCTTCCTAAACATGTAATTGAAAGTTCATTCTAGCAAGAAATTCTAGCAAGAAAACTATTTTCTCTGTTTTGCTACATGGTAAATTAAAAACATTAGTGTTCAGCTTTTTAAAGAGGAGTAATGTAGCAGACATTAACCTTACATACTAAAGGGTTGTTTGAACAACAAATTATTAATCTAAATGCATATTTATTGATTGATAACATCCTAGAGATAGAAAGCTATAGTGCAGTGCTCCATATTAATTTTAAATTACATTCATTATCTGATCGTGTTTCATATTTTCTGTCTTCCTAGATTCCAAGGCTCAGTTTAAAAAGATCAAACAATTGACACATTCTTAGGACTTTCTTGAGTTTCAGTGTACATATCAGATCTTAAATGGATGTAGTGCAGAGGATTTTGGCCTTCTGTCAGCTGCAGTGTGTTTTGGTGTTCTGTCATTAAATCTGGCAAGTTTAGAAAATAGGCTCTTCTATAATGTACTATTTGTTCTTTAAAAAAGCTTTTTGACTGTTTTTTTCCCCCGTTATTATTAAAGTAGCTAAAGCATCCATCATTTCCTGATCTGTTATGTTTAGAAATATTTGGGTTGAAGAAGTAGCTACAGAGCTGGCAAAAGTGATGAATTTAGTAATTCCAAAGTGTGCATTTTTAAAAAATTTTGCTCTCTTTCAGGAAGATGGTAGTACTTTCATCTGACTAGACCCAGGTAAAAAATATCCTGCCAGAGTGTAACAGCAGAATTGAGTGTCATTTTCAGAGTCTCAAAGATTGGGAATGTAACATTGGCTATCTAGACATGTTAAACAGAAGGTAGTGTGGCCTGTATTTAATAGAAAGAAGAAATCTTTGGGAAATTAAATGCAGAACCTACTTGAATAGTTCCTTAACTTCTAACAATTTTTGTCACATTTCCTGGTGTTCCCTATTAACTTTTTGATGATAGTCCGGGGATTATCCAGGCACTGAACCTGGCATATAAAATGATTCTCCTAAGCTAACCAAAGAAGATTTGTAGCTCCAAATCAATTGAGAAACATTTGGTAGCGGTTTTAAGAGTAGCCTGAGGGAGTGACCAGGAGATATTCTACTATGACTGATCCCTAGACCTTAATTGACTTTCTTAAATTACTTTCAGTCCAATAAATACAGTTGGCAAAAAAGAAAAGAAGACAAGGTTAGTAAAGTATGCAGTACAAGATACAGTGCAGTTTTTTGGGATTGAACTTCCTTGTTAGATTACAATGCCTCTAAGTATTTACCATTGAAAAGAAAATAAACTGTTTGGATATTAAACATTCATGCAACATGTGGATTTTAATTTGGTTTCATGATTCAAATAAGCTAAATGCTTTAGCATCTATCCTGAAAATTTTTGAAACCTGATTTTGACCTAGTGTTTTGATTAAGGCACTATATTGTAATACAAAAGATGACTTTTCATGTGTGGTGTTGAAAGGTAAATGTGCAGTTTAAGCAGTGACTACAAATTTAAGAGATTACTGAAGAAGATATCTTTTACTTTGACCTCAAATCTGTATCTCTTTAAGCTTCCAATTGAAAAAGGAATTTGACTAAATTAAAGGCCTTCCTACAACAAAAGAAGAAGATTTTTTTTTTTTAGTTTTAATCAGAATGAATGAATGCTCTTCAAAGTTCATAATTATGTGTTGACTGCTTCTCTTCTATCTTCCCCATTGGTCATATTCAATTAACTTTTCTATAACTCTTGCAAGTCTCATTACTAGCACCTGAACCAATGTATTTGTTTCCATAGTCAAAGAGCTGTTAGGTAACAACCTATACATCAGTGGCTTTTTCTTTATGTCTTATTAAAACTCAGTTCCCTCATGTTTGCATTTTTTATGGATTTATTTTTTGAACTGGGGGAAGAACAGCCATTAAAATAGTAAAGCAAAATTATAGCTTGGTTTAGGGCAATTGGAAAGTTTCATTTTTCTGGAAATCATGTATTTCATTTTGTCAAATTATTTCTTAACATCAGCTTTTTCACATTATGGGCAGGAATTACTGGCTACAATCTGTCAATAAGAAGCTTGACATTTATTTCTATATTCCAAAGACTTAGGTACAATGTAATTTTTATACGTAGCAGCCTCAAATATTTTCATGCTGTTGCACTGAGAAAGTCAAGATAGTCTGACAAAGCTTCACTGACAGAGTCTGAAGTTGATGGCAGACATTACCTTCAGTTACTTTAGGAAAGAATAGGATGAGGAGAGAGAAAAAACGGGCAATTGTTCCCCAGCAGTGAGCAGGGAAGAGCAGTGATGGGAATCCCCTAGGCAAGCATCCTGTCTGATGCAGGAGATGACTACCCAACCACATTTCTCATAATAACTGTGCAATTTTAATGGGATGGAAGTTCCTGCTTATGGTGCTTTTAACAGTTGGCTGAGGCACACATGATAAGGTGCTGGTGTTTCACAATGGAATTCAAGCTTTATTCATGTAAATTATGGAAATGTGTGCTGAATTCGTAAATAGCTATTATCTGCTGTGTTATTTACCAAGTACTATAGTAATAATCTAACAGTGAGAGTGGAGGGTTGAGGAGATTGTACAGACTAAGGGGAAGGTGAGGAGATAAGGAGGGCCAGGAGGAAGGAGTGGTTGGGACACAGGGGAGAGATTGTCACAGCAGCTCAGGGCAGGCAGGTGACCAGGCACAGAGCTGCAACAGAAAGAATCATAAAATTGTAGGATTTTAGGGGTTGGAATGGACCTTACATATCATCTAGTCACAACCCCCTGCCACGGGCAGGAACACCTCCCCACTAGACCAGGTTGTTCAAGGTCTCATCCAGCCTATCTTTGAACACTGCCAGGAGCAAAGAGGCATCTACTACTTCCCTGGGTGGCCTGTTCCAGTGTCTCACCACCCTCACAGTAAAAAACTTCTTCCTAACATCTAGCCTAAATTTCCCCTCCTTCAGTTTGAATCCATTACCCCTTGTCCTTTCACTGCAGTTCCTAACAAAGAGTCCCTCTCTGGCTCTACTGTAGCCCCTTCAGATAGCAGAGGCTGCTATGAGGTCTCCATGCAACCTTCTCTTCTCCAGGCTGAACAGCCCCAACTTCCTCAGCCTGTCTTCACAGGGGAGGTGC